TATAAAAATATATAATATATATAAAATATATATATATCATATATATGATTGATATGATATATATATATGAGGTGGTACAGGACAACTCCATTATATTCTTTTTTTTTAGATGGAGTCTCGCTCTTTCACCAGGCTGGAGTGCAGTGGCACAATCTCAGCTCACTGCAACCTCCGACTCCCGGGTTCAAGTGATTTTCCTGCCTCAGCCTCCCAATTAGCTGAGACTACAGGTGTGCACCGCCATGCCCGGCTAATTTTTGTATTTTTAGTAGAGACGGGGTTTCACCATGTTGGCCAGGGTGGTCTCGATCTCTTGACCTCACGATCCGCCCACCTCAGCCTCCCAAAGTGCTGGGATTACAGGCGTGAGTCACCGCACGCGGCTGCTGTATTATATTCTTATGAGACCACCATCATTTCTGCGGTCTTCATCAAAATGTCATTATGAGATATATGACTATAACTCCTTTTCAGATTTTATAAGGTATGTGCTTTTATTGTTTAGTTATGGTAAACACAAAAAGTATTAAGAAAAAGACAGGTACTTATCAGAACCAACTACATAATTTATGGAGTCCAGTAAAAAATGAAAATATGGAATGCTTTGCTGAAAAATCATTAAGAATTCCAAGACAGCAACAATAGAGCATCAGGCTAAGCCCAGGACTCTTCCATGTCATAGGCTTGCGCAACAGCACAGGTCACATGCTGAGCAGGTCCTGCTTATTATCCCCCTACCCAGAGGCAACCACCACTAATGTTTCAGCAAAATCAATTCCTTTAATCTCCTTTCTATGCACAATTTTTACTATATGGCTGAGATACTGCAACTAAATTTTCATAGTCTGCTTTTTATACTTGACATAATTGTATTTGCATTTCCCATGGCATTAAAAAAACTCTTCAGCCACCAATTTTAATGTCTATATAATATTCCATATATAAATTAATTGGGGCATTTTGGTTGTTTCTTTATTTCCCTTTAATACATATGATAAAATAAATCTTTGTGAACAGATCTTGGAATATCTGGTTATCTTCTTAAATTTTGACAAATAGAATGACTATTAATAAATCAAGTATTTTAATATTTTAAAGATTTGGATACTAATTTTATGTTTGCTTTCCAGAAAGATTATGTCAGATTATAATCTTACCTAAAATACCCTATCTGGCATTGAATATTATGCCAATTTTGAAAGTAAGAATTATGCATTCATGAAAGGCCAATGGTGATTTTGTATTTTTAGTAGAGATGGGGTTTCTTCATGTTTGTCAGGCTGATCTCAAACTCCCGACCTCAGGTGATCTGCCCACCCCAGCCTCCCAAAGTGCTGGGATTATAGGCGTGAGCCCCCGGGCCCGGCCCCTTCTCATTTATTTTAATTGCTTACTCTTTTTCCTCAGGTAGGTCTGCAAATCCTATAGGACAAATAAGACTCCTATCTTCCTATTTTCTTGCTAGTTACAAGCCATTTCTTTATTTGTGCTGTTATGATATAGGGAAAAGTGAAAATCTACTGAATTAAGATGACAGAGAGAAGTCATAGACAAGTAACAACAGAGCATTCCATTGTGATATTAGGCAGACTTACTGCTGGAAAAGCATTGAGATTTAAAGAGGGCTTGATAATTCTTGTTTTTGCAGAAAATTTTTCTTATGGCTTTATGAAAATATCTTATTTTGAAAGACGAGAATCAACTATGCCTTTATGGTTGAGTGTTAGAATTACAAAAGCATAATTATTCTTTATTTTGTTATATTTCCTAACATCAGAAATAGATGGATTGTTTTTTAAAGAAAAAAAATCACATACAATTTAGTCTCACTACTCACTCCTTTCTTTTCTTAAAAGCCAATTTGGTTTGTAGGTGAATCTTAATGTTTTTACAAATATATTGATTATTTTGTAGAAAATAAGATCTCATGAAATAAATCTCTTCTGACTTGACCAGATAATATGGTATCCCTTCATCTGTTTGTACAAAAATTATTCATTTAAAAGATGAGCCCCAGTTAAGGATTTTTCTTTTGCTTTAGTAAGGAGCTGAAAAATCAAGAGAATGTGCCTGTAAAATGCACACAAAGTTGCTGCTATATGTGATATAATACTTAGAAGACCTGAGCTTGATTATATACTAATGTACTATGCTATTGATTGATTAGTCAGGGCAATGAATTATAATACTTGAATTGCTGTTTGCAAGGCTTTTTAACTACCTCAGAAAACAAACTAACGCTTTGAGAAAAAGCTTTAAAAATAAATGGGTGCCAAAAGGACATAATTCACCCATCTAAGCAGTTTGGTTTGGAGAAAAAAATATATTAACTTCATCTAGTCCTTGGGGCTTTGTGGCAATAAATATTGATTTGATATGAAAAATAGCTATCTACTGTAGTTAATAGTGTTAAGCATACTTTACTTGTTAAAAGAGGGAAAATGCGACAAAATATGAGCTCCAGGGTTATGTTGGTGAGCAGAGCCATTGTATGTTAATAGTTTTATTTATAAAACACCTCTCCATTGATTTTTTTTAAGGCAGGCATAAAGTTGCTAAGCAAGCATTTCACACATGTTCCCACCAGTTTTCTTTTCACCCTCGATTATGGTTGTTTCATAGCACTGAAGAAAACGTGAAGGATTCTAGCAATGTTGGTTTTCCTTTATTTTTTGGATTGGTTTGGTTTGGTTTTGCTCTTTTTTTTTTTTTTTTTTTTTTTTGAGATGAAGTCTCACTCTCACCAGCCTGGAGAGCAGTGGCATGATCTTGGCTCATGGCAACCTCTGCCTCCCGGGTTTAAGGGATTCTTCTGTCTTAACCTCCCAAGTAACTGGGACTACAGGCACGCACCACCACACCAAGCTAATCTTTGTATTTTTAGTAGATACGGGGTTTCACTATGTTGGTCAGGATAGTCTCGATCTCTTGACCTAGTGCTGGGATTACAGGCGTGAACCACCATGCCTGGCCTTGCTCGTATCTTTTTTTAAAGCACACACCTGCACTCCTTCATAGAGGTTACCCTTTTTAGAACATACAACTTTCTCCTAACAGTGCCTCAGTACCGAGCCCCATTTTCGGTGGACAGCAATTTGTCTCTGTTGTGTGTGAACTGGAGTGGCACTTTCCTCCTGAACGGCCCACTGAAGGAGTACGTGTTAACCGATGGAGGGCGACGCGTGTACAGCGGCTTCGACACCACCCTCTGCATACCGAGAACGGCAGACAAAAGTCAGTTTCTGATTCCTGTTTCTCAATGTGGAAGGTTCTGTGTTCCCCAGCTTTACCAAACGTTAAATCTGAAAGCTGACCAGCAGATGCTCACCATTAAAACGTCTTGGTTTAAGTGCCCACTTCTCGTGGAAAAGTTACTGCTCAGGATAAATAAGGTTTTCTTTCCTTTCCATTTGCAGCTTGACAGCACTGCAATTATAATGCAGTTCTAGGGGACAGTGCTGCCTCTACCGGATTGGAGGGTCCCCAAGAAGGGACAAGACCCAAGGGCAAGTCGTGGTCACAAAAGAAATAGCACCCATGCATAGTCAATGACTACCCTAAAATAATACACTCTAGGGACTTCATAGATTTTCTTGCTGTATCTCCAGTCTCCAAACTTGTCAGAAAATGACTGTCTCTAATTTGTAAGGACCTGAGTAAGGGGTTTCCCTACCTTCCTTGTTATCAGCCCCCGAAAGAACAACCTTGTCCCTGTAAGATGGAATTCCTCCTTCCTGTTTACTTACACACCCCTTTTCTTTTGTCTTGTTTTTAAATTGAAATGAGAAAATGCTTTACAAGGTACTAAGTATTTTCTAGTGATCAGCATGCAGGCCAATGTTCACTTACCATGAATCAATTAGTGGATATTTTATTTTGGCTATAAGGTAGAGGTGAGCAGTGAGCTCCAGCATTGCAGTATAGTAATAGAACCTTAAGAAAATTTTTACAAAGATTCAGCTACGCAAGTTCATGGTTACAATTCATAGTCACCTGGGCGACATGTTGGGAAGGGAAGGTGGCCTGATGGTTGGGAGATGCAGGTTCTGCTTGGCCAGGCCTCAAACCATCTGTGTGACCTTGCAAGGGTCACTTCCCTCAAGTTCCTGGCTATTGAAAGAACAATTTAGACCATGTGATTTCTAGGATCCCTTTTGAGCTCTGCTGTTGAGTAAGAAACTCTGGGTCACTTCATGGAAAGTACATCTGTAAATTATAAAGGAAGGGTTTAAACCATGTGCAGAACAAGATGCACTTTGTATATTATTCTTTACTTCTCTAATATTCTTTTCCTTTGCTGTATAAGCTCTAATTTTCCTTAGCTCTATTACTTACGGATAGGCTATCATTACACGAATTATAGCTTTTTTCTTGGATATTTTTAAAGTAGAAATAATTTTACGTATTATATAAAACTTCATAACTTGCTCTGGAATGCTATTTTTCATGCTATGATGCATTGCTCTTTTAAAAGCATGTGCCCTATCTGTAGGTGTTGAATGAACACATCATTTATCAGTTCTTCCTTTTGTCCAGCCTTTTTTTTCCAGGTCACCTGCACAACTGATGAAGGAAGTGTAAAGACGCCATTGATCCAGTATGACACCTCCAGTGGATTTGGTAAACAACTCATATTATACTTGGTGTAGCGTCTATGCCTTTTCCTCAAGAAACACACATGTTTGTTCATGCATACTTGGGGTGAAGTATGCATGAATGGAAGAAATTGTGCCAGGTGTTGTCAGAAATTTTTTTAAAAGTCCTCATGGAATTTACAGTAGGCAAGCAGTTACTATATACTGTTTTTTTGCTTTTTGTTTTTTGTTTTGAAACAGAGTCTCACTCTGTTGCCTAGGCTGGAGTGCAGTGGCACAGTCTCAGCTCACTGCAGCCTCTGCCTCTCAGGTTCAAGTGATTCTCCTGCCTCAGCCTCCTGAGTAGCTGGGACTACAGGTGTGTACCACCAAGCCTGGCTGATTTTTGTATTCATAGTAGAGATGGGGTTTCACCATGTTGGCCAGGGTGGTTGCAAACTCCTAACCTCAAGTGATCCACCTACCCACCTACCTTGGACCCCCAAACTGTTGAAATTACAGGCATGAGCCACTGTACCTGGCCAGAATGTACTCTTAAAATGCCAAATAATTGAATTGTAAATATGGAAAAGACCAGAGAGATTAAATTTTTATCCTAACCACAAACCCTGTCAATAAAGAATTGTATGACTTCATGTACATAAAGGTGATTTACAGAGAAAGTTAGAGGAGAGATCAGAAGAAGAAAGAAAATATTCAGCCAATTCATGTTGATCGTAAGGTTAGTCTTCTGAATTCAAAGCCTAGAATGATAAATTTGGAAAGTGTCTTTTATCCTCCATAAAAGAGTATGATTGACTGTTGATATCAAGTAATTTAGCTCAAGGGATACAATTTTGATTTTTAAGGAGGATCTTTTAAATTGAGTTTTACTCATAGTCTCTGAATCTAACATTTGTGATACTTTATAAAAGCAAATTAGAGAAATGCCAAATCTTCTCCATTAAAACAGATTTGGGATTGATATCCTATTGTAAATCCTAGTAATTAATGATATATCAAATTTGCATGCACATATATAGTGTTTTCTTTTTTTCTTTTTTTGAAGAGTAAACATGCCCCAAATTCCTGAAACACAGTAAAACATACAAATTATTGTCAAGGATAGTTTCAATTTGTAAAAATAAGTTATTATTCATGCTTCCAAACTTTACATGTCTGGATGTCATATAAAATTTCCTACATTGAATTCCTTTTATATTGCTTATTTCATTTAATAGCAGTGGTAGGATAGAACAGACCTCATTCAGTATTCTTTTAGCAACGGCAATATTTCCCCAAGTGGACATGTGGAGGTCTAAGGGACACAGGAATTTATCCAGGAATGCTCTGCCAGCTTGTTACTGGGATGAGAACACCAACACGGATTTTCTGTTGACTTGTGGCCCAGGACCTTTTCTTTGCAGTGGTTTGCCAAGTTAAGTACGTGTTAAGAATCACCTTAGTGTGCTTGTTTATTATAGTTTCCCAGGCCCCTGGCAGAGATTCAGACTCAGGGATGCCCGGGAATCTGCTCTTTAAAGAAATCCTGCCCAGTGCTTCTCACGCAGGGCCCAGAACCACGTGTTGAGTGATGCCGGAAAACCAACATTGCTCACCTTCTAAGCCCTGCCAGTCTAGTTTCGTTGGTGAATGGGAAGCATGTTTTTCCCCCGAGGCAGGCCATCAGCAGAGAAGGATTTACTCTGACACTGGCTGTGGCTTCAGTTTTTCTTTGGATCTGAGGCCCAGCCACCAGAGTTCCAACTTCTGACAGTGAACCTCCCACGCGATGCACAGGTGGAGTCCCTTAAGGTGAAGGGGCACTTAGAAAAGAAAGAAGGGAAGGGATAAAGAGACACCATCCTGATTTCAAGGTCTTCATAAAAAGGAGAAATCCCCCGTTGGCCCATGAATACGAATTGAGGTTTCCATTGTGTCTAGAGGCTGGGCTCTGGGCGGAGCAGAGGGAAGGAACTCTGAGGCTGTGCAACGCTATGGCAAATTCCAAGAGGTACTGCCCAACTAATATCCATCGTCATTTCTAATTTTTATGATGTAACTTTTTAAAATGCTCCTGTTCCCTTGCCTGAAGGCAGCCTCCAAGCAGGAGAGTGGCGGAGACCTCATTTTCCTCTGACTATTCTGAGGGCTATTTCCCTTTTGAGGCTTACCTCGGGCAGGTTGCCCTCCCTTCCCCCACGTGCTGTAGAGCAAGAGGCCCACTGGGCCCATCAGATCAGTTTCTGGAGTTACAGCCAAAGAGTTATTTCCTCGCTGAACCACACACAGAGGAAACAACTCTTTTACTGTGCAACCTAGGCTGGTTTGTTTTTAATCAAACAACACACATTGGTTCCTAATTAGGGGAATTTCGACCTGCTGGAGCTTGATTAGAGCGTTGACTCCAACCCTTTATTTTAGAGATGGGAAGCAAAGGTCAGAGTCCAATATTTAATCACAGCTGATCAGCAGCAGAGTTAGGGTTGGCAAAGTAATATCCCTCCTCTCATGGAGTTCAAAGTTTAGTGTTAGTCACCTTCTGTTCCTGCCTTTAATATTTTTACCCCAGTTCTGAACTTTTGGCCTTTAAGTCTTTCCCTGAGAGTGTGAAGGTGAAGTACTAGGGAGGTCCACGAAGTTCTAGAGGTGCTGAAAAGGGGGAGATTTGTCCAGTGAGTGAGTAGGCTTTGCAGTTGTGTCTGTTTGTTCTTCTGGCCTGGCTGTGGGTATTAGATTTAGATAAGCAGCCCTTTGGCTCACAGCTCCACGTCGGCCTGTGTGGCCCCTGCATTGGATCCACAGGTTTCTGTGCTGGCCCCAGCAAGAGGCTGGATGGGAGCAGGTCTCTGGCCACCCCATCCTCACCCCAGCCGCACCCCTGCTTAGCTTGCCAAGCTGACCACATAATTTCACTGCCTTCCCCTGTCTGCACGGTCCTTGTCAGCCTCTCTCATATCTTCCCCACAATAATAATATTGTGGGGAAGATAGGAGAATAATCCTGCCCACCCTTCATCCCTGTGAAGCCCTAAGCATGAGGCCTGGCACCAGGCACATTCTTGTTAAACGTAAGCTACTTTTATTAATACTAACCTCATGTGTGGAGACTCACATCAACTGAACTCTCAACATGTGAATAGCAAGCAAAGGTAAGTGGTCCCGGTGCTGAAAGATTTCTTTCCATAGGAAGCTTTCCCAGTGCATTTGGGTGATGGTTTGCAGACCTTTTGCTCTTTAACAGAGAAGCCATGTAAGACAACCTGGTAGCAAACACAGGCTAATATCATAATGAAAAATGAAATCTGATACTTCAAAATCCAGTTTGCACAAAATATCAGGAATGGGACTGTTGCATACAGCAAGGATGCCTCGGATCTCCAAGCAGTGATTTTGTTTGTGACTCTGCAGCAGTAAGAGCAAGGATCCCAGTCCCCCAAGGACTTTGCTCTAAGGCACACAGCTATGAAACAGGTGACCCTCAAGGTTACTTTGGTAACCCTTTTAAACATCGCTCCCCAACTCCCATCTTTTCCGGGGATTTGCCAAGGCAGTGGTGATTTCCCGGCTGAGTGGCAACACCAAGAGTGTCAGTGAGGTCTCTCGAGGACTGTAAGCGTCTCGTTATAACCCACGAACCCGCTGAACCATTACCCCAGGCTGCACACAAGTGCAAACAAGCACCAAGAGACAAACTGCTTTCAACTCTGTTCTAACTTACTATCAAATAGCAGAGCCAGAGATGGCAAAATTGCTTTCTGAAGTAACATTTCCCCTTTCTTTCCCTGGATTTTGCAGGCTTGGTTCTAACCACGCCTGGAGAAAAGAAGGGAACACGGAGCAAAAGCAAAGAGCTCTACAGCGAGCTGTGGTTCATAGTGTTAATGGCGGTGCTGGGCTTAATCTTGCTGGCCGTTTTTCTGTCCCTGATACTACAAAGAAAAATCCACAAAGAGCCGTATATCAGAGAGAGACCTCCCTTGGTACCTCTTCGGAAGAGGATGTCTCCATTGAATGTCTACCCACCAGGGGAAAACCATATGGTATGTCTGCAGCGATGTGGCCCCATTTCCCTATCACTGGACTAGAATACTTGTTTTCCTTCTGAGAAAAATGTTTCATAGCCGTAGTAACAAGGAACGAGATGCAAGTTACGTTTCATTAAGTGTGGGGACCGAGGGACGCTAACCCTAGAACAGCTTTCACAGCTTTGGCTGCACATTAGAATCACTTTAGAAAACTCTAAAAAAAACCACTGCCTGGACTTCGTCGGAGGAATTCTCATTTCATTGGTCTTGAGTAGGGCCTGAAGATCGGTATTCTTTTTTTCAGTCCAAAAGTGATTTTAATGTGTAACTAGGGATGAGTATGTCTGCCCCGTAATTGCAAGCCAGGGTGTGGTGGAGAAGAGTTGTATGTTGAGATTACCTGGGGAAATTATAGGCTGCGTTACTGTGTAATTTAGGGGGATTGGACATTGCAAGGGGGAGATGGGAAGGAAGGAGCGAAAGTGGTAGCGGTGTCCTGCCTGTCCTCTGGTCCTGACACCCTGTGCCACAGGGGATGGACGGCGCCTCTTAGCTCCAAACCACTCACTCCCAAAATAAGAGGTCCGGTAAAGGTCTGATGCGACAGGACCCCATCACTTGGTGGTGCAGGACAGTCGTTGCCCAGAGCACTCATTGAAGGTTCAAAGGTGATTTAATTCCATGATGCACTCTGGTGTGGGGCTGTGTCTACCTGAAGGAAAAAAGACTGCGTTTTCTAATCCTCACCAGGTACCCGTCTGTTCCCCAAAGCTGCGTGCCTGTAGGGCTACATCTAGCGGAGGCATCTTTTTTCCAGTTTGTACTAAGGTTGTACATCAGCTAGTGGCTACGCTAGGCAGTCTCAAAATTAAGCACAGAAGCCCAGTCAAGCTGCTTACATTTCAACATTTTAAAAATGGCAGCGAGTGAAAAGAGCAGCATTGTCTGCCTTCCAGACCTCTGCACTTCTCCGGGATTCAGCGATGAATGAGCACTGGTCAAGCCCCAGCACAGTGGGATCAGACCCTAACAGCAGGAGTGTTGGAAGCACGAAAGGGCAGTGAGACCTCTGAGGTCCATGGTTTGTGGTTGGTGTGGGCAGTAGCAATGGGACAATGATGAAGAAGACACTGCCTGGTACCCTGGGGGCCTTGGCTCTCTCTCCAGTCACGTCTGTCCCATTCCTCTTCTCAGTCACCCTGCTTGGAGCCTCCTTCCTCCCTGAGCCCATCAGACAAACTTTAACCACAGGCCCATTGCTGCTGCTCCTGCTGCTTGGGTGGCTCACACTCTGGCTTCATTCACGTCTCTGCACAAATGTCACCTCCCATTCGATGTAAAATTTCCTAGCCCCTTAACCCACTTGTTTTCTTTTCCATAGCACTTATCACATGCCACTAAATCAGCCAGGTTTGTCTGACTCTTGAAATAGAATGTAAGCTCCCAAGATCAAAGATTTTGTGGGCCACTTCCTGTTGTATGTGCCCTGGCACCTGGAGCAGTGCCTGGGATATCACAGACACTCCACGAATGTTTGTTGAATGAATGAATGTTGAGTGACCACTTCAAACCATGGGCTGTTTGCTCCTGTTCAGTGAATAGTCATTAGGAGATTCCCACTGAAGAGCAGATACTACAAAATTTGTTAAAGAGTAACTTTCTTTAAGGAGCCCATGTTCTTAGAGGGTGCCCTACTGCCAGAGGAAGGCAGTGGAAGACAGAAGAAGGCAGGAGAGATCTGTTGAGCCTGGGAGATTAGCTAAATCGATCCTAGGGTCTATGCATGGAGTAGTGAGAGGAAGTTCCCAAGCACTGCTGGGCGCATCTGCTCTATAATGTGAGGCACGGTTACAGGAATGCTTACCCACATACCAGCAGCGTCCAGAACTCATTCCAGTGATAAATTATCCTCTCCTTTGACCCAGTCCCTACAGGCAGGCAGCTCTGTGTCAGAACCCTCCATGAGGAAGAATACCATCTTCCTTACTTGGTTAACTTAGTGACCAGGAGACACTCCCCTCATTCCTGTGGGGATGTTATGTTACTCTGCATATAACCCCATTGCTCAGGGTTTTAATGAGTCTTGTTAAGCTTCGTTTTGTCAAAGTGAGGACCATGAGCTGTCTGCATCAGCATCACGTAGGAGGAGCAGGACCTGAAGTTCTGAGGCAGAAACTCAGGAATCTGCCATTTCAGCTGGAACCTCAAGAAGTCTGATGCACAGCAAAATTTGAGAACTGCTGAAACTCAAATAGTAATGCAAATCCCATATGCAGTATGTACTGTTTGATACCCAGAGAAGCAGGTGGCAGGAGGGTGCTGGTTAGATGTTGCAGTCCTGACACAACACAGGCTACGCTGCCTCTGGGGACAGACATAGGCTTCAGCTGGGAACAGCAGACAAAAGAATTTAAACACCTTGTTCCTGTACACCGTTTACCACCAGGGAAAAGCACAGCAGCACCCAGCTGATTCCTTTTTTTTTTTTTTTTTTTTTTTTAGAGTCAGTGTCGCGCTGTGGCGCTGGGGGTGGGGTGTAGTGGTGCGATCTCAACTCACTGCAACCTCCGCGTCCTGGGTTCAAGCAATTCTCCTGCCTCATCCCCAGCTGATTCTTTCACTGAGTGGCCAAGACTGAGTCAGGTGTGAAGATGGGATGGCACGGAGGGACTGGCTGGCTGCCAGGGACTCTGTCCCCAGGGAACTGTCCCATCCTCAGCAGGGAGGCTGTTCCTTGTAGGCAGGTCTCAGCAGAAGTGAAATCTGGGGCATGCCAGGGCACCAGGTGGAATTCCCCTGAGCCTGTTGAATCATAATTCAATCCTATCCAGTTGACAGAGTGTACTTGCAAGCCTTCTTCTGTTGCTTTTTAAAAAATATTTTTAAACCAAACTGCTCTCACAAAGTTGGAAACCATGAGAGACATTGTCAAAAATTAGCCAAACTAAAGAGAGTACAATTTGCATTCGTAGAGCAAAATGAAGTCCTTCTTGGTGACAATGGACTCCTCATTGACTCAGATGGGAAAGAATCCACTCTAGCGGAATAATCAGAATAATCAGAATAGGAACAAGCCAGATTTACCCGCTCAGTTTTCCAGATGGACTGTCTTTTCACCTGACTAGGTCAATGAGCTATGCGCCCTGCAACACACACACACACTTCTCCCCCTCATTTGACAAGCTCTGGTTTCAGTGCTGCTGTGACCCTCTTCCAAGCACCCCTGCCCTGTGAACAGGTAAGGTACCCTTTGAACATCAGACCCAAACTGGCAAAAATATTTTAGGCTATACTCTGAACAGAGAGAAATAGGCAGAGGTGCCAGGAAATGAGTGTCTTTTGTATTTCATTAACATTTTTCAAGGCCAGGTAGTATACAGTACAGCTAAGTTCAAGTGCAAGTTTTGCTTGTTATTTAATTACTGGTTTGAAGATCCCTTCATTCTCTGCAATACTAAACAAATAATGGCAGTGGTATTTACCTTAGGTACTAATCGGTTTGTTGTTTCCACTTACCAGGGGGTGTTTGTTTGTTTCTTTGTTTTTGGGATACAGTCTTTTTCTGTCATCCAGGCTGGAGTACGGTGGTGCAATCTCAGCTCACTGCAACCTCTGCCTCCTAGGTTCAAATGATTCTCCTGCCTCAGCCTCCAGAATAGCTAGGATTATAGGCAACTGCCACCACGCCTGGCAAATTTTTGTATTTTTAGTAGAGATAGGATTTCACTATGTTGGCCAGGCTGGTCTCGAACTCCTGACCTCAAATGATCCACCCACCTCAGCCTCCCAAAGTACTGAGATTATAGGCATGAGCCACTGCACCCAGCCTCACCACAAGGTTTTAGTTGCAATACCCAAGTTTCTCTTTCTCTCTCTCTCACATATACACATTTATATATATCTCCACATATATGTGTGTATATATATATACACACATATATATATCTCCACATATATATGTATATACACACATATACATATGCATGTATGTATCATAGGGTGTGTGTGTGTGTGTGTATATATATATATATGTGTGTGTGTGTGTGTGTGTGTGTGTGTGTGTGTGTGTATCAGAGTAGTAGTAAAGATGGGTATGATAATACTGTCATTAGAGAAATGCAAAGAATATGTTTAAAACTGTTCCTAACATGGACTGACGCTGCCATTTGTTCTCAGTTTGACTCTGTGGCTGATATATCTGATGTGTCAAGCAATGTCACCCTAAAAAGTTACACCATGCACTTTGAGGTACCTCTGTGTGCTGCATGAATGCATGGTCTTTTGCATGGTGTGTTGACTGCACAGTGAAAAGCAAGATGAGATCATCGATGACTTCCAAATATGCAGTCCTTGGAAAGCTGAACAACATGAGGGAAAACGCTATTAAAAAAAGAAAAAGCAGATACATTTCGTTGATTGGACCAGCTAAATCAGAGCCCTCAGATATTTAGAGCAACTAGATTTTATCTTATGGCACATTCTAGGTCTAAATTATGGAGTGACTTTGTCTCTCCGATGTTAATGTTAATATTAGACCTGATTTAATTTGGAGGCTGGAATCCTATAACAAGGGGAGGAAGATGGAATGAGAAATGAGAGAAGGAGGAGTCAATTTCCCTACACAAATCCAGGACTTTTAAATCCAGGAAAGATAAACTGAGCTCACGTAGTGGGCACCCATGAAATAATATTGTTATCTTTGGCTGCTTTGGGGGAGGGGTGTTCTCAAGAGGGAGGCTCTGTGCTGACATGCCTGAAGAAAATACCTTGTTCACCCACCATCCACCTGCCTTGCCCCACCACTTTGCAATGCAGAAAGCCCTTGTTCTCGTCTGGGGAACAATTGCCAGAGCACAATTGCATGCGCTCTCTATGTGCCCAAAGCACTGGCCACCTAACTTGAGTATTAGCTCATCATCTCATCATTCCTACCAAGAAACCCAGGGTCACAGTGTTCTGGGTGCTCATAGCTGCTAAATTCTGTAAGTGACAGTTGTTCCCTTCATTGACAATGTGACAATTGTCTGGAGACAGTCATTCCCTTCACTGGCAATGTGCGAGACACAGCTGTCTGTCATATTTCAAGCCCATATTCTTTATATGTGAATCACTCACAGCAACTTCCTTTTCAGGGATTAGCCGATACCCAAATTCCCCGGTCTGGGACACCTCTGAGTATCCACAGCAACCGGAGCTCGTGTGTCCTGCGCATTCCGAGTCAAAGCCAAAACAGCCTAACCTTCTCCCAGGGCTCTCTCCACCGCAGCGTCAGCCAGCTCATGGACATTCAAGACAAGAAAGTCTTGATGGACAACTCGCTGTGGGAAGCCATCATGGGCCACAACAGTGGACTGGTGAGTCGGTTTCCTCCTACAGGGCCTTTGCTAAATATCCCAGAAAAATACTGGTACGAAGCTGCCTGTACTTCACTGAATGCTGTCCCATGGCACTTTGCCTCTGAGCACTTACCCAGTGAGGTAGTAACAACTGGTTTACTAGTGTTGCTACAATTGTGTGATAAGCAGGGTAGAAACTTTGTCTTGTTCTTCTGGTACACAATAGATGCTTAAAAATGAATGCATAAATAAGCAGCAACAGGTTATACTTCATAAACCTGGAGCAGAAGGTGACTGGAAACATTGGAATGTGGCTAAAACAAGGCAGAAAGTACAAGTACTTGTTTTACTAAAACAAAAAGATAATCAGACTTTTCCTATTGGTGTATGAGTAGACGCAAAAAGAATATTTTCTATCAACAGCTAAACATGGTTGCTTTCCAAAACACTTAGGAAATGATGACAAATGAGGATGTTACTATTTATAAGCTTCCATCTTTCATAATTTCAGTCCAGTGGGTACAAATAATTGGCTCTTTGAAAGGTAACCTGTTAGTGATATTTGTTATCAGTCTCTGAGTGGCTGAGATAACAAAAATTCTAGAATTTTTGCCAGCCATCACATTTCATTGTGTTAACTTCCTAGATTAGATGCCCACTGCAGGAGCTTCCATTGGGCTAGTTTAGAAAATAAACAGATAACCAGCTAGGAAGTTAGCTCCTCTGTTTACTCCTCGGGGGTAAAATTATTCACCTCCATTTCTTTTAATTATCTGCTTCTGTTTTTGGATTTGCACTCATCTTTCTCCTCCAAGTTCTCACTTTTCCTTCACTGAAAAGTTGATGACATCCATGAAGTCTTTTTTGACTAATAGCAAATAATAAAGGGAGTTCCCTGGATCCAGACTCCCTAACACTATAAAAAAAATGTACAGTCCTTCTTCCCTGTTCAGAATGATTATATAATATATCCATATCTATATGCATTTTTAAATCACAGGCTGTTTGATATTGTTATAACCTCAATTACATGATTCCATTTCAGTCCTAAAGTTTTTAAACGGCAGGGATAATGGATTGAAACAAGGAATTGCTAATTGATCATGCAGTTGCTACACGTTCAACATAATACATTGAAAGTTCAGATAAATCATTTCACCTAATCTTCACAAACGGTAGGAGGTAGGCTCTATTATCATCCTCATTTTTACAAAGAGAACTGAGGTTTAGAGAGATGAGTGATTTAATGAGAGATTACACAGATGGCAATATTTTCATGGGTTTGGGATCTTAAAAACGTCATCTGACTACAGAACTTCTATTTGTATTTATTATACTATATTTCCATTTTTGCGTGCTTTTTACAGTACTAGTAATGGGTGATGTGCAAAGGGATTCAATACAAGCTTTCAAAGGGGCTAATACTTGGCAAGTTATCTGTTCATTATAACATTATTGACCCTATTTGATAAATACAAAATAGAGCACAGCAGTGGGAAGAAATGGAGCACACAGCTTGCATTGTGGCTCTTCCATGTACTCTTTGAACTAAATTTTTATATATGTGTGTATGTGTGTGTATATATATATATGGGGATATATATATATATCCCCATATATATGTATATACACACACACATATACACATATACATACACACACCCCACTCTGCAGATGAGTACACTGAGGCTTTCAAAGGTTAAAATATGGCACAATATAACCCTCAAATCACATACATTTTGAATTGGTCTATAATTCATGTGTGCATGTGATGTGGTCCTTTCCGTAAGAGAAATTTAAGGCAAGGGCTATTTTAGACCTCACCGTTTTTGAGAATAAAATGTTAAGCCTTTAATAGTTACTACTTTTTACATTTAATTGATATAACTATAAATTGATAGGAAATACTATTGATAGCAAGTATTGTAGCCAATGGTGATTAGCTTATTTTTCAGTATGTGGATGAAGAGGACCTGATGAACGCCATCAAGGGTTTCAGCTCAGTGACTAAGGAACACACCACATTTACCGACACCCACCTGTAAAGGATGAAAACCCGGAAGATGTAACCCTGGAAGGCAAGCTCTGTACCCCATTCCTCCTGGGTTATCACTGACACATCATAAATGCTGAAAAGCCATGGTTTACTTTCCTATATTTTAAAGAAATGATGACTGTTTTTGAAAGAGTTCCTTCCTAATAGAGCTCTAAGAAATGCTATTTTTCTGGTTGTCTAAAATGAGAGGTAATATTCATATGAAAATACTTGGTTTGCTCTTATTTTGTGGAAGACAGAGGAGTATGTAATTGTCACTTGGCTCTGTTTGGCAGTGAAGTTAATAGTTAAATAATCAGTGACAATTTCAGGATGGTCCACAGTTGTTAGAAGTAGTAAGTTAGCTGCTGGTTCAAAAACTAAATGGTTCTATTGAAAGGATGTCACTGCTGTTCATTTCTATCTGCCATTTCTGTCAGGATTGACACAATCCTGCAAGAATAGTGATTCTAATGATCACAATTGCTAAATGAAATCCCAAACTTTGCACCAGGTCTACATACCATTTATTTACAATACATAGGATTACTCACAAAACTTCTTGACAAGGCAACACATAACTTACATATACATGCCTCTGTTCTCACATTTATGAATTTTCCAAAAATCTAAGGAGTAAACAGCTTATTCATACATTTTGAAGAGAAAACAGTGTTTCAATAGGAACACTTCTACTTGAACCAATGTTTTTATTTCACATATTTTATAGTTTTGAAACTCCAGTTTCTCATAAAATTCTGTCAGTTCACCGAGTATCAGAAAATACTGACATCTTCAACTTAGCACATCAAGTAGAAACTACTGTTCTATTTGCAATATTTAATTAGGCCACATGACATTTTAAAAGGAAAAATGTATCTTCCTTCTAGCATCAACATATATACTTGTAAAAATAAGACTATCCCTATGTGTATATATGTATATCATGTATACATTATTTTGCACTATGTCCCTTCTTTTTGGAGAACTACCCATTATTTTAGCCACAGATCAGTAAGAACAGATGATACACAACAGTACCAATTCTATGGTTCAAAAACGTCTGTCATCTGCTCTAGTTGGATTACTAAGTCATTGGTGAAAGTCCCGTGGCAAGAAAAATTTTCTTGCAAATCATCCATATAAAGTCAAAGATGTTTAAATTTGTTCTTCATGGAAAATATATGAAAACCTCTCATCTTCCTTCAGCCTTAAAGGTCTTCTTGACTCCAGGAAATTATGATGAATCTGTCTAACACACAATAGTCACAGTATTTTGTGAATCTACACCCAGAGGCAGGCAAAAACTTCTAAAGTAAGGGATAATCTTATTCTGCCTGAAACAATAAATTACCCCAGGGTCCAACAGTAAAAGACTGTGGACTTTTGGGATATTAAGATTTCATCCAGCTCTGTGAGAGAGCAGCTCCACAGATTGACCAGCTCCTAGATAAAGCTTGCCAACCATAAGTGTCAAAAGCACAGGCCAGTATCATTCAGAAGTTCTGCCACCTCGTTAGAACTGTTACAAGCGAAAACATCTGAAATAATTGTGCACATCTGGCAGTGACTGCACAAAATATGAAATATATTTTTGTCGCCAAAAGTTTTTATACTTTCTGAAATGAAAACATAGGATTGACTAATTTAGTTTACTGGTTTTTATTCCCATATGCCGATTCTGGGTCATTTAGTTGTTTAAAGCTGGTGCAAATGAGCATTAACCAAGGCTGTGTCCGCCTCTTGTGAGCTACTTAAGGTATATAGGAAAAGAGTGGTCACAAACTTGGTAGTGATAAATTCTTATCCTTGGTGGACTCTTCTAAGAATATGGTTTACAGCCGGGCACGGTGGCACAAGCCTGTAATCCCAGCACTTTGGGAGGCCGAGGCGGGTGGATCACAAGGTCAAGAGATCAAGACCATCCTGGCCAACATGGTGAAGCCCCGTCTCCACAAAAAATACAAAAAACAATTAGCTGGGTGTGGTGGCGGGCGCCTGTAGTCCCAGCTACCTGGGAGGCTGAAGGCTGAGGCAGGAGAATTGCTTGAACCCAGGAGGCGGAGGTTGCAGTGAGCCGAGATCGTGCCACTGCACTCCAGCCTGGTACCTGGAAACAGAGCAAGACTCTGTCTCAAAAAAAAAAAAAAAGAATATGGTTTGTTACTTACAAAGCATAGTCTACAAATATGCTTTGCTAGATTCAGAAGATCGAGATCATCCTGATTTTTGAAAAATTAACCAGGTACCTTTATCACTGTGTATTTTTAAAAATCTATGCTTTGAACCTGGGAGGCGGAGGTTGCAATGAGCCAAGATCCTGCCAGTGCACTCCAGCCTGAGCAACAAGATCAAAACTCCATCATCTCAAAAAAAAAAAAAAAAAAAAAAAGAAAATTGAAAACCTCTTTCCATGATGATTGTTTTCATTTTTCATCAGTCACACAAGGTACATTTCAACTTTTTTTCTTTCCATCACAGCAACCCTAATGAGGTAGGTATAATGAAAAAATTTAGGCACAGTGGGGGCAATCTGTTCAAGGTTTCAGAGTGTCAGAGTAGACATAAACCACTGCTCTAACATCAAGGTTCAATCTCTCGAAAGCAAAAGAAAGAAACAATATTTGACTTGTATTATAATGTAATCTACGGTATAGTTGTTTTCCTTTTTATGCGATTCTATTATGTAATAGTTACTGCCTTCTTTTTAATGGCCTTTTACTCCTGGTCACTAGTCTACTTTTTTCTTTCATTTTCTTACTTGCCCACCCAACGTTCACATAACTGTGATAAGGAGGAAGAAGGGTGTAAGAGAATTACAATCTTAGTAGTTTTCAAATTATGCTTTGCTTCGTATCTTCACTGGTAACTTATTTTCCACACATATTAAGTTCTCGCTCTCCCATTTTTTTTTAAATTATGGGAAGAAGCAAAGAAATGAACAAGCATATAAGCACACTTTAAACAGAACTGTTTCTCAAATAACTGAAAACACACTGTCATAGTCATTTTTGATTTAATTGATGATAAATAAATACAAGAGAACTGTTGTGAAACCACTGGCAATATAGTAAACTTTAAAGATTTTATTTTCAACTTCACTCACATTTCTTGGAATGGGGATATATACATTTTTCACCAATAAATGTTAATGTTTTAAATTTACAATTACCCTATTTGTAGAAACCTGAAGATCATTCCAATCAAATGAAAAAAAAATGTACAAAAAAATTTCTTTTGTTCTTACAATTCAAAATATATTCAAATTAACATTCTTACAGCAGCCAAAACCTTTAACCCAAAATTCAGAACTGCAGTCCCACAAGTGAACAAAATAGTATTTTAATTTAAATATCATGATTGATTGTTAACACTGAAAAAAAAATATGGTGGCTCCTAAAACAAGACAGGTTAGCAAGTGGTACGGCTTTCCCTTCTGGGCAAAGGTTTGTCCGTGATGATTATTTTTATTTCATCTTTTCAACACAAACAATTGCTCCAACTTGAAAGTTTCAATGAAATTCTGGCATTTAATATTGCTGATGCTTGCTAAGATTTAAGAACTCCCAATGATGAGAATCAGTAAATGGCGCACAACTAAATTAAAATTATCCTTAAAGACTCACTACACAGTGGTATCTGGTATTCAATATCAATAGTGTTTTTGAATTACATGATATGTTTTTCACAAACATAGCACCTCATTAAATATCTGGTAAACAGTTTGCAATCACAAGGGTTTGGAGACCAAGTTCCAAAGACAATTATGTGATTCACTTAAAAGAACATTGCAAGACAAGTCTCGGGCATAATGAAGATTAGGAATGCAGTCTGCTGGTTCCCATGCTCTAAAGGTATGCTCACCTATACGGGCACCATCCTATTAAAACGTGGTACTATATTTCCAAAACCAAAAAAAAGTAGGTAAATGTTAAAATGGACTCCTGCTTTATAAATGATCTGTTAAATGTGCTTGTAAAACTAAAAAAATTTCCAAAATGTCAAAAGAGATATGACTATTATGTCTCCTTATTTCAGGTAATTCTGTTAAAAAGATACTAAATGAAGTCCAATTTTATCTTGTAAAGTTTTAGTGTAAAAACTAATGCATTGAAATCCAGGAAAGTTTAACTTTCATCTAAATGTAACAAAACAACTATTCATTTGAGTGAGTTTTCACAAGCTGTACTCCTGACCTGAAGAATCACTTTTTTTATGCCGAGGAGATGGAGTAGTCTTTGTCGGAGATGGGGATGCAGTACCAGGTGAGTCAGTTCCTCCATCAGAAGTACTTGGTGATGACGCCAGATAGGGAACTTTCTTTCTTCCAAGGAATCCTCCCCCTTCAAATCCTCCTTTCTTCCTAAACTCTATTTTATTTTCATTTTCATCTTCTGATGACCTTTTCTTGGATTCTGAAAAACCTTCAGCTATTTTATGCACTTCCAATCCACTATCCAATTCTCTCAAACTTTTTATTTCTATTCCAGGAGACTTTCGCTCAGATATATTACATTCCCCTGTTGCCCCCTTCACTTCAGCTTGTATTGGACCCAAGTTACCATTTTCAGGGACTGCTCTTTCTACATTTCTGTTCAAATTAATAGTCGTCTGGAAGTCCCTATAACTGTGAAAGCTCTCAGTCCTTCTTGCCCTTGCTAATAAAGGACTCTCTCGGTAAGGCCTCACGGAACCGTAAGTAGCTGCTTCGTGGATGGTTTCATGGTGCTGAAGCTGAAGGCTGAAATACAGTTTTTAAAAAATAGTTCAGATTTCACTCTGATTTTTCAGGAACATATTAATTAAACTACCAATAAAACACACTATATAAATATATAAAGTGTATTAAATCCGTATTTCTCTTTATAAAAATATACTTATCAAGTATTCTTTATTACATAGATACTATATAAAATTACCAATGCAAATAATACCATCATGTATTCACAAGCTGAATTTTTGAATAGCTAAAAAAAAGATGGGGGAGAAAAATCCTTGAAACCATTATGAAATCAACATAATTCAGTATTTAGCCCTTGGTTCTTCAGACTTTGGAATTTATCAATATGATAACTAAAAAGACATTATGGAACTTTGTATTAAAAGTACATAATGCTTAATGTAAGATTAGACAACACAGTGTAATCACTGATTAATATTGTCCCTGAGGCAGCACAATAATTAAAGCTTCACATACTAACCAAGGTGACATGTGATTTTCCTAATTTCCTTTGAATAAATTCTTGATCACAAAATAGGCTTCCAAATTGGCAGCAATTCACAAAATAAGTTAAAAGGCAAAAAATATTTTTCTATTAAAGAACCAGATATGCCTATTGATGACAAATTTAGTAAAACTGTTAAAAAATTGATTAGGCTGGGTGTTGTGGAGGCTCATGCTTGTAATCCCAGCACTTGGGGAGGCTGAGGCGGGCGGATCACGAGGTCAGGAGTTTGAGACCAGCCTGACCAACATGGAGAAACCCCATCTCTACTAAAAATACAAAAATTAGCCGGGCATGGTGATGTGCACCTGTAATCCCAGTTGCTCTGGGGGCTGAGGCAAGAGTATTGCTTGGACCCAGGAGGTGGAGGTTGCAGTAAGCCAAGATCGTGCCATTGCACTCCAACCTGGGCGACAGAGCGAGACTCTGTCTCAAAAACAAATTGTTTAACACAATATCTGAATTTAAAATGTACCTTGAATAGTATGGCTTTCTAGAACAACTATGTGATTACAATTTTTCAATTTCTCCAAAAGAAATAAATTCTGTTTATAATACCCAATTCTTAAACCTACCTAGAATTTGATTCTCGTAAGTGGCTATGTTGAACTACAGAAGTTGCTGGACTGATGTTAGGAGTAGCACAGCGAGATGTGCTCAAATCACATTGATCCAGTAATTTGAGCAGCTCTTCTTCAGTTGGACCACCTACATCTTAGGAGAACAAATACTCATTAAAATCACTTATTTGAAAAGCTTAACCTCGTGGCAAACATCTTTCTGTATGAGAACCTACCCTTATCTTCACTTTTGTTAACCATATCCATAG